CCCATGGTTGCCTCATTCCTGCTGTGACCCCAATGCCCCCTACCCCCATGGCCGTGACTCTCCAGTGGCAGCCGGACACAGCCAGCTCAAACCCACCTCGAAGGATCCGTCTCCACATGGTCAACGAGTTGGAAAGTCCTTGGAAACCCTGGCAAGGCCATCGGAAGGGTAATTCTGAGGTGGTCCTGCCTACCCCCTCCATTTTAAAGGTGGGGAAACTGAGGCCCAGGACCACACAGCAACTGGGAGTGCCCCTTGGGAGCAGCTCTGGGCACATGGGCTCAAAGGAGGGGGTTCCAAACCCGGAGGCACCAAGCTGGGCATGCGGCGTGAGCACGGCCCTGGGCCCCTGCCTTCAGGGAGCGTGGGATGGAGTGAGGAGATGGAACACCTTGAACCCACCCACAGAGCCCCTGTCACACCCAGATTGCTGAGAAAGGAGCGGGGCGCGATGGGAGGGAGGGATGGGGACCCCACAAACGGCAGGTCAGGGAGGGTGCACCAAGGAAGTGACGACCAAGGCGAGGCCTGAAACTGGACAAGAAGCTGGTCCTGTAATACGCCAGAGAAACAGCTGGGCCACTAGGAGAGCACGTGCAAAGGCCCTGAGGCAGCAGGAGCATCCGAGGGTCAGCAAACAGTGTGCTGGAGTGGAGGGAGCGAACGAGGTAGAGGGAGGTGCGGGGGCAGGGTTCCCTGAATGTTGGCACTTTGGGGCCCGAGAGAGAGAGGCTGAGTTGGTTCCAAATGCCACAGGGAGCTTCTGAAATGATCAGATGTTTGTTTTGGAAAGCTCCCCGCCCCCAACCAATGGCTGCTGTGTAAGGAGGGCGGCTGATGGGACACGAGGGTGGCAGGGAGATGGCTGATGTGAGAGAACCGGGGACAAGGGAGGAGGCACAGGGTCTCCGCCCTCACAGGGGTGGAAAGGGAGACGGGACCGGAGCAGCAGTGGGCTCTCTGCTTGGGGTAGGGGAGCTGTTCACTGCACACCCACCCCGGGTCCCTGAGGGAGAGGGAACTGGGCCCAGGACCTGCACCCCGGTGTCCCCCAGCCCATGTTGAGCCCCATCCTCAGCCTGGGAAACGGTGTGCACAGTTCAGAGAATGGCCACCAGGTGGCAGGCAAGCCTTAAAGATGTCAGGGCGGCGGGAGAGGTTGGTGCCAAGGAGGGAGACGGTGGGCAGGCGGGCAGCAGGGATGTGACAGGGGCCCTTGGCCACCTCCCCAGCTCTGGGCCCCACTGTGCCATGAAACCTCGACGGCGAGCTCTGTCTGAACATGAGAAGGGCTTCTGGCCAGTCTGGGAGGAGAGTGCAGGCCGGACCACCAGGTCCCTAGTCCCCAGGTTGTCATGGGGGTAACCCCTCCACTGGTCTGGTTTCCACCCCCCGCGTGGGGCGTGGGATCTCACAGGTACATCAGCGGTGATTCCTGGGAGCACGGGGCAGGTCCGTGGAGGTCCCCGCCTGCCGGGCCACTGCAAGTTTGATCCCCTCTCCATCCCACCCTCCCAGCTGCACCAGGACGTGGTGAGTCACCACCTGAACTCAGGACCCTCGGTGCCGACAGTGCCTGGATGCAGGGCCCAGGAGGGGGCACCTGGTGCTCTTCACATCAGCCCAGGAACTAGGTGTTGTCGGAGCCACTCAAAATCCGAGGGTGAAGCTCCCAGCAGTGGAAGGACTGACTGAAGACATCCAGGGGTTATATGGGCTGAACGGTGTCCCCCTAAAATTCATGTGTTGGAGCCCAAACCCACAGCACCTCAGAATGTGACTGTTCTTGGAGAGAGGGCCTTTTAAAGGATTAAGGCAGAGAGAGGTCACTAGGATGGGCCCTGATCCAGTGTGGCTGGGGTCCTTATAAGAAGAGACCAGGGCACAGACGCGCACAGAAGGACAACCATGTGAGGACACAGGGAGGAGACGGCATCTACACACCAAGGAGAGAGGCCTCAGGGGGAACCAGCCCTGCCAACACCTGCATCTGGGACGTCCAGCCTCCAGGACCGGGAGACACTAAATGTCTGTTATTTAAGCTGCCCAGTCTCGGGCACTTTGTTCCGGCGGCCCCAGGACACTCACACAGAGGGAGCAAGGCCAACCAGGCCCCTGGCCCCACCCAGGGCCCCAGCACGTACACACAGCAGGAGGGCAGGCTTGGAGTCTGGGCCCCACTTGGCAGGGTCCCCCGGGCGCCTTCCAGCCACTGCCTCCTGAAGCCTCGGTCTCCAGCGGACAAGGAGCTCAGCAGCTGCCGTGAGGAGAGGACCCGAGGAGCAACTCGCAGAGCAGCCGTGCTTTATGGGGTCCAGGCTGGCGCTCGAAGCACCGCATGAAATCCCAAAGCACCAGAGACGCCCGCCCCACCCCTGCTGTCCACCATCCAGCGCCTCCTTTGCTGTCTGGCCAGCGGGAAGGGCGGTCCCCACTCCAGGAAGCAGGCACAGGGCTGGCGAGGGCACCTGGGACACCCACGACAGACAAAAGCGTCACTTCTGCCCACCGTTCACCTGCAGGGGAGATGGACCCGCCCGGCCTGCCCCAGGGCCCACCCAGAGCAGGGGTTTGGGGACATTTCTCTCTAGGCCAGTGGTGGCCGACACACCACCCAAGTGCAGGAGCGGCCGGCCTGCCCCACGGAGCTGCAGCTCCCGGGGCCTCAGCAGGGACCCGGCTGGCACCCTCGGCAGCTTCCACAGGTTCCCACGACCAGAGGGAGGGGTGACGCAGGCGTGACCCAAAGGCGGTCCCTCTCACTAGGATGGCGGCTAGCCTACTTTTTGCCGTTAAGCCTGTCGCTGCTCTTCCATGAGAACGTATAACCTGATAGGACAGCAGAACAACACACCGGGACCCCAGGGGGTCACCCAGGGGACGTGAGAGGACCAACATCAGGACGTCCTCAGACCTGGCCATCTCCACGGATGCAGCAGAAGCACCAGACAAGAGGCAACACCATCACGTTAAAATCAGGCCTCACGTCGGACTCGAAGGACGCCTCCCGACCTGAGCAAACACACGTCCCTCCGCCCGCCCGAGGCCGGCACATTCCTTCCGGAGAAGCAGGAGGAGCCACTGTGACCGACGGAGGCCGCCGCGCCAAAGCCCCACGCGCTGCAGCACGCACCTGCTGGCCGGCTCCACACCCAGAAAACCCTAAAGGCCCGGAGGAAAGACTACGGACAACGATGGCAGAGTGTAGTGACACCCCAGGCTATGCCAGGGACAGAAACCCATGGTGTTCACGTACACCAAAAACCTCCAGAAAACATAATGGAAGAGAAGATGCCATCTGTGAGGGCCACAAACAATGATTAGTAGAATTAGGAATAAACCTAACGACGACTATGGAAAGCCTGTGTTACAAAACCATAAAACCCTCCAGATGGACAGACCACCATGACCGTGGACAGGAAGACCCCACACCAGAGAGGTGCCCGTCTCCCCCAGAGCCCTTCACCAGATTCCATCCGATTTTTCCCAGGAGCCAGACAAGCTGGCTGCAAAGGTCATTGGGAAGAACAATCGAACCAGACGTGCCAGGGAGCCCCTGAACACAGCCGTGCGCAGCGATCACGTCCCGCGATCACACAGACCTAGGACACACATCATCAAAGCAGCGTGGCCCTGGGGATGAGCCCAACAGACAGTGGAACAGACCTGGAGGAGCCCGGGGGAGACCCACGCGCATCTGGACAGCTGGGTGACGATAAACACGGCCCCTCGAGCCGGGGAGGAGAGCCGGACTCTGAAGGAGCGGCACTGGGTGACCGAAGGCCAGGGGCACGGAACAAGAGCGGGTCTGTTCCTCATGCCACACGCCGGGACGCTCTCAACTGCCAGCGACAATTTAAAAACACGAGAGTAACCCACACAAGCGCCAGAAGAAATCATGGGCGAGGTCCTCTATCCTCTCGGAGAGGGGAAGCTTTCCTGTAAACCGAAGTCCAGAAGCACGAAAGAAAGACACACCGGGCCCAGAGGAACCCAGCCCGGGAGTGGGTGCAGGTGCTGCTTGCGTAGGTGGTGGGGACGTCGCAGATAAGACACAAAAATGCAGAGACAGAAAGATGCCGCCGTCCCACAGGCCCCATGCCCACAGCCGTCAGCGTTCAGGCCGCCTTCTGGGGACAGGAGCAGGCCCCTGTGCCCCATCTTCTCTGCAGCTTCACAGCCAGGCCACCTTTGAGGTGTCCCCACTGCACCTGGCCCAACGTAACCAAGGCGGCGTGAGTCCTTCTCAGTGCTGGCTCCCAGGCCTCGCCAGGGCCACGCTGACCCGAGGCTGTGGGGACCCCTCCCAGGCCCTGTCGCTCGGCGCTCACGGCTGGTTGCAGGGAGAAGAGCCCTCAGACCCCACTCTCAGAGGGAGGGGCTCGGACAGGTGGGCAGGGTCGGGGCGGGGCCGGCACTAGAAACCCCTTCTGTCCTCGCGCCACCTCTGAACACCTATTCTGGGGCCAGGGACACAGGCACGAGGGCTGAGAGCCTCGAAGGCCTGTGGAAGGAGCCATCAGGTGGCCAGGGTGGGGACACTCTGGGTGTAGGCTGTGGGCAGGGGCTGGGACACGTGCAGGGTCCGGGTACCAGCCATAATCCAAGTCAGGAGTCACCCAGACCGGAGCCACAGCGCAGGCCCCTGCTGACCCCAGTCCCAGCTCCTCGTGCCTACATCCTCCTGTCCTTCCTTCCCAGCCCAGTTGCCTCCTCCTCTAGGAAGCCCTCCCAAACCACCAGGCCCAGGTGCCTCTCATTCTGAGGCCCTTCCAGCCTGGCGGTCACATCCTGGCAAGCGTGGGGGGTCTCCACACCCCCAGTCCCGGGTATCAGAGCAAGCCCACAGCTGCCGGCCAGCAGGGGCGCTCCAGCACAGGGTCATCGTGCAGGCGAGAGAGGCCAGGAGCCCCTCACTCCACCCACAGCCCCCACGCCTGGGACACGAGGAGGTCCAGCGTGGCTGTGACAGCTGGCTGGCCCCTCATGCTGCTACTTACCATCCAGAAGAGGGTCCCTGTGGCCAGAGTGACATACTGCTCGATGGTAGACAGCACGCTGAAGATGAGGCAGGCCAGGACGATGAGGAAGCTGCGAGACAGGAGGACATAGCGGTCAGCCCTATTGGTCAGCTCCTGTGGCCAGCGTGCCCCCTCTGCCCCTGCCACAGACACAAGCCCAGGTCCAGGGAGTCGAGGGGCTCACCCACCATGCCCAGCCCACCCCACCCAGCAGGACCAAGCCCCGCCCCTCCCCAGATGGAAGAACTCAAAGGGCCACCCAAACCCAAGTGTCCAGCAGCCGGTGAATGGGTGCACAAGGCACAGCCCACCCACACGGCAGGTGTCGTCATTGGCAGAAAAGGAGGACGTTCTGACCATGCTGTGGCGGGTGGACCGTCAACATGGCGCCAAGAAGCCAGGCACTGAAGACATGAAATGCCCAGAACGGGAAATCCACAGGGACAGGAATCTGACTGGGTGTCACCGAGGGCCAGAGGGACAGGGAGTGACGGCCAGTGGGTACGGGGTTTCCTTTTGGGGTGATGGAAGTATTCTGAGCTTAGACAGTAGTGATGTATGCACAACCCTGTAAATGCCCCGAGAATCAGTGAGGCACACACTTTATGCAGGGACCTCTCGGGGTGGGACCACGTCTCCATAAGTGACATCTAATAAGATTTGGTATCTGTTCTTACAAGTGCGTCCACAGAGCAGCCAAGGGCCCAGGGGGGACAGGAGCTCCCGGCCCCCACAGGGCGCCTGGTGTTTAGAGCACAGAACCCAGCCTGCTGGGGAGGGCGGGCCGACTCCTGCTAACTGGGTTAACTCCTGCTAACCTGTTAACGGGGTGTCACCAGGGCCCCGGGCTCCCCGAGGGGCTGGCGCCTTGGAGCCTTGGCTGCTCTGACCGCTGTCTGCTCTCTCCTCCCCGGGGCCATAGCTGGAGCCCAGGAACTCAGCAAAGGGAAGGGGGTAGGATGGCCCCCAGCCCGCCTGCACACCGATACCACAGACGGCAGCTCTGACCGAGCCCCAACCATAAAGACAAAGAACCCTTGCTTCCTGAAGGCCCCCGACCCTCCACGGCTCTTCCCCGTCCCTAGATGTCACCGAGCCAAGCTCCCAGCCCTCCTCCTGCCTGGGGGAGAGGGACCTCTAAGGGGACATTCCAGGGTCTGCAAGCACCCTCTCAGCGGGTTCTCAGGGACAGGACAGCAGAGGAGCAACAGTGTGGCCCCAGGGACACAGGTGTGGAGAGACTGCCGGCCCACGACTCGGACCCCCTACCCAGCACCGGGAGCCCAGGCTCTCTCCCCACCCCAAGACCCTGCTGCCAGGTGGTCCAGGATGACCTCCCATATCAAGATCCTTCGCAGAGTGACACTTGCAAAGCCCCTTTTGCCATGTAAGGTCACAAACAGGGTTAGGGGTCCGGACATGGGCATCTCTGGGGCCATCTTTCAGCTGACCGACAGTCCCCACTCCAACAAAACCGGCCGCACCTGTCACGTGCCCCCTGCCCCACACCACTGTCCCCAAGCCTTTATGCCCCACACGCGAGGAACGGGAGGCCCAGGAGGGAAGGGGGCTCTTTCGGGCCAGGACCAGGCCCCAGGGCTTCCCAGACCCCACGGCCAGGTTGTGCTCAAAAAGTTCTAATGGTTCATATCCTGGGCGCGGACATGGCACTGCTCATCAAGCCACGCTGAGGCAGCGTCCCACATGCCACAACTAGAAGGACCCACAACGAAGAATATACGACTATGTACCGGGGGGCTTTGGGGAGAAAAAGGAAAAAATAAAATCTTTAAAAAAAAAAAAAAAAGTTCTAAATTCTCTACGTCTTCTGCCTCCCAGAGCAGAGGCAGTAAAGAGAATGGCCTGTGGCCTCTCCTGCCCTCTCCAGGGCATCGTGGTGGCACCTGCCTCACGCCAGGCTGTAACGTGGCCATCCTTCGGGACCCAGGAAGGGAGCTCGTCTCTCTTCTCCAAGACCACGGACTCCAGCGCCCTTTGGACCCCGTGTCTGCTTAGGATAGTTTTCCAGTTCTGGGCTGCCAGGGAGGCAACCCACCATTCACTGTTGCTGTGAGCAGGACCTCAGCTACAGGACAGAAAGCAGGAGTTGGAGCCTGTTAGAACCGTGTGTCAAGTCGGAGCACAGCAGCCCTGAGCAAGGCCTTGGACACACTGTCAACCAGTCACGCACCCCACAGCTCCTGGACCTCACGGCCACGCTGGCTGCCCAGGGGCCTCTTCCACCCTACACCCCGGCCTGGCGATGCTCAGGACACAGACTGAAGTTGGCGGGGTGGGGGGGCGTGGTCAGCCATTGGGAGGATCTGGCTGGAGAAGCCCCACCTGTGCACAGACTTTGATGGTCCCCCACGGAAGGTACATCAGGATGGGTGTCCCACCCCGAGCTCCCGGTCAGAGGTGCACAGGGAGACCCCGGTGCAGACAGAGCCACAGCAGAGGCTCTGGGCCAGAGCGGGGGACCCACCCGAGGAGCTCCGCCCAGGCTGGCTGAGCACGGTCTTCCCCTGAGGACGAGGGGCTGGTGCCAATTTCTACCTGCGTGTTGTGCCTTTTCAGCCTTGCTGTATTCCGAAGACTAAAGAGCTCTTCAAATGTTGGAATACACCGTGCTGGGTTCGCAAAGAATCATTTAACAGGGTGTGCTCCTGTCCTGGGTGGCCGAGAGCCTCAGAGATGCCAGACAGGGTCCCTGCCCCTGGGGGCCCACAGCCTGGGGCGCCTGATGGCCCCTCCTGCCTCTGCAGGGCTGGCCACCACCCCTCCGTCCCAGCTCACATCCCAAGGCCCCAAAATCAGGCAGCCACAGACCCCCGAGGTCTGGGAGATGGAGGCCCAGGAAAGAAGGAATGTGACCTGTTTGCTGGGCAGGCGTGGGGAGCAGGGCCAGGGGGAGAGAGGACACCAACCCCCACAGAGGTCACCTCGGTGGGGTGGCCGAGGCTGCCCGATGGGACTCCCCAGGAGGGTGTGTGCATGTCTGCAGGAGGTGGCCGCTGCCAGAGGCGAGGGCAGCTCCATGCCCCGAGGGACAATGCCCCGCTTGTGCCCCTGCAGCTGATCCACCTCGGGAGCTGTGACCGCCAGCGCCAGCCTCAGGGACGTCCAGAATGTTATCGGCCATCATTTCAGTATCTGCAGCGGCCAGGTGCCCTGGGAACGTGAAAGAATGCAGGAACCCTGCCAGGGCCGCGATGGGGCTCAGCAGGAGGGTGCCCTGGACACAGAGGCAGAATGCCAGCGGCCCACAGCCTTGCCCCCCCACATGCTGGGGCCCCGGGCACCTGTAACGGTGGCTCAGCCAGGCCTGACCCCAGGAAGGGCCCGGGATGCGAGGCCTCCGTGACAGCATCTCCAGCCCATGGGGAAGCATCTTTCAATCCTGGGATGTTTCCCCATGAAGTTTAAAAAGTAAACACACAATTGGCATGCAAAGAAAGCGTGGACTGTTCAAGGCGCCCTCAGAACTCCAGCTCAAAAGAACTCGCCATTGGGTTAACTCGGGGGTGAGCTGAAATGCAGGACGCTCAGACGCAGCACCGGGACCCCTCCCTGGACGTGAGACGCCGTGCTAGTCCGCTTACTTTATTGAAGGTATGAAAAGGACCTGAGCTCTCTGAAAGGCTTTGTTGGTCCAGGAAAAATGTCGTGTAAAAGAAGGAACCTCAAGGACCTGATGCTGAGTGAAAGAAGCCAGACACAAAGGGACAAAACTGTGCGATTCCACTTAAATGAGGACTCGAGCAGTCAGACTCACAGAGACAGACAGTAGGATGGTGGGGGAGGGCGAGTCAGTGTTTAACGGGCACAGAGTTTCAGTTTGGGAAGATGGAAAGTTCTGGAGATGGATGGTGGGGATGTCTGCACAACAACGTGAAAATGCTTCATGCCACTGAGCTGTGCACTTAGAAATGGTCAGGAGGGTAAATTTTGTGTTATGCGTATTTTACCACAATTCAAATTTTTTTTTTTTATAAAAGGGAACTAAGTAAATGATGTCTATGGGCAAGTGCTGGAAGCTGACGGCGTTTAGGGCTGTAACCGAGGCTGAGCAAGTTCAGAGACGCGCCCCCCCCCTCCCCCCCCAGAACGGGACCTTCGAGGCAGTGACACACAAAGGGCTTATGAAGCCGCCGAAAGCCCCAGGCCGAGCGGGTTGGAATGTGTAATTTAGCAGATTAGGTGCTGACGTCTAAACCCCAGGCCATATCGGAGGGCTTCTCTTTGCACAAAAGTCACCCTGCAGATTCCAAACACCCCTCGCAAATGAAGGACACGTGCCCCCGCCCGGCCAGGGACTAGTGATTCCGCGCCCCTGGACGTGGACACCCATGGGACGCTGCACTCCCAGGGTGCAGCCTCAGGTCCTGTCAGGGCTTCCCTAGGGTGGTGGGGGGGGGGGGCAACATTGCCCAAGAGGGACGCCAATTCCCCCACCTGCTGGCCCAGCCCGTGCCCGGGGCTGCTCTCGGGGAAGCTGGGCCGATGTGTCTCAGTCACACATTGGGCCCCAGGCTGTGCTGGGCACTGTGCACGGGGTGCCCTTCTAAATCCCATGTGGAAGGTGTCACATCACCTCACAGGAGGTGACAGGGGCCCAGGGCAGAGCGCAGTGGGTCCTGAGTCCCAGACTGCAGGGCTGGCCCTCCACCCCACAACGGCCAGCCCTGAGAGGGCCCCAGATTGTGGAGCAAAAGGCCTGGCCACCAATGGGGACACCAAGGCTCTGAGCCAGCGGGGACATGCCCCGGGCCACAGGGAGAGGGACCCCAGGTCGGCTTACCCTGGGGCCCACAACCAGCTTCAGCTTCAGAGCACCAGACCCTGCTGCCAGGGTCCAGGCCAGCACCAAGATCACAGTCCTCCAAGAGGGGGTGCCACGCGGCTGTCCTGGGAGGGGGGGTGATGGGACCGATCCCCTTCCAGCTTCTGGGGGCCTTGAGCATCCCTGGCTTGTGGCCGCATCTCTCCAGTCTTTGCTCCATCGTCATGTGGCCGCCTCTTTCGTGTCTCTGACTTCCTCTGTGTGTCTTTTATGAGGACGTGTCACTG